CGCGACTGACTGTTAATACTGTTACGAACCCAGAATGCTTGATTATGGAAATCTAGCGCCCTCTGGATTCACTCTGTCCATGAAGTACACAATCTTATTGTTGTCTTTTGCTGTTCCCTTATTTTACCTAATTATCGTAAATTGCCAACTTGCACTTTTATTCCCAGGGTCTCTTACCAAGCACAGCGCATGATGCAATACCACGCGCGCTACTGTATGCATTATCCATGTAGCGATGTACATGTGCGCGACTGACCACACCTCCCTTCGCCCCAGCGAGCTAAGTTCCTTTCCCCATAGCATGCGTGCTTTGGCGTTCTCCGAGAGACTGCTCAGCGGCATGAAGCATTTCTCTCCCCCGTGTGTTACCCATGAACACTAACCGGAGTTCTCGGTCCAGTTTTGTAGTCCCGTACTTAGCTCGAGGGAATGGAATGTTACCCTTGCGTGGTCGCGTAGCTGTGCGTGGTAAGACATCCTGCGGTGTCAATAACCTGTACACAGTAACCTTTTAGCTTGTCACTCACTCCATCAAGGTTGCTCGAGATGTTGTGTAAACACTTTTGCACTCTGATCTAACTATTTGCACACATCTCTCTCTGTATTTGTACACTTCTCTCTCCATGTTTTCCCTCATGTAAATGCACACGTTTCTAGTCTCTTGCACTAGGCACTCTTAGTAAATCATGTGACTAGTCATGTGACCCTTAGACATGGAAGATTACTATTGGTTACTTCCTAAATCAGTGCTCATGCATTATTTAATCCCGAGACTTCTACTGCCTATAAATACCGGAGGTTTTCCTCACTTTCGGCAGTGCGGTGAACCACGAAACCAATGTAGTGCGAACAAACTCTAAACCTAAACTTGTGCGGCGAACTTATATGTTGTGCGGCGAACTTAAATGTTGTGCGGTAACTCGTATGATGTGCGACGAACTCGACTCTGACAGACCCGGTGTTGTGCGACTCTAGTCACTACGAAGCATCGGCCTCCCTCGGTAGTTGAGGCGCGGTGAAGTAATAGTGCAATCACTAGTACTAGTGTTATTATGAAGCATCCTTCTCCTAGATCCCTCGAGGAGTGTGTAGAAGCTGGTGAAATAGTAATACACTAGTCCCAATGGTGCTGTGCGGTTTCGAATGGCCTTTGGACTGCTAGTCTTAGCTTGAACATGTTGTGCGGTTGTCTGGTGTTCTAGCCCAGCCAGAGCTAGTTCATCCCCGTCACCACAGCGGACCGCTCCCGCTGTGGCCAGCCGGCTCCCCGTAGCCTTTCCCCCCGTAGTTCTGCTATACTAGCCCGGTCTTGTCATACACACTATCCTTGGTGCATAGTGTCTCGATTGACCTTGGATACCCGATACGCCACATGAACACTTTGGTTCGAACTGTAGTGCGGCCTGGTACACTTGCTGGCCCCGTCCAGTTGCCGTTGCCTCCCCGGTCACCGTAGCGGACCGCTCCCGCTTCGGTCTGACCGTCGATAACCCGTACCGTGCCGGTGCCCACTCAGTTCGTATTGGTTGACATGGTTTTGCCATAGTACATAGTACATGTATAGACTTTGTAGACGCCAACCTATTATCTCTATAACGCTACCAAAAACTACCAAAAGGAGAAACCCTATAGGTTGATGAAATCTAACAAAGTTATGTAAAGTGAAGAGATGAATAAATCAGTGTATTGACATGTGTGACTGTCACCCCAAAGCTCTGTTTCCCTCCAACTTATTGAATTATTGTTGACTCTAATAAATGTTTCATGAACTGCTAATAGGGAACGCAACAATATCTATGAACAAAAAAGTACTCTCTTTTAACGTCTTCCACCTGGTGTCTTTCGTCGAGGAGGAAAGTATCATTAACTTATTAATAGGGAAATTGTTTAGGTTCTTGGGAATTTGAATGACATGTTTGACAAAATGTCATTCTTCCCGAGGGATTTTCTCAGCCTTAACGATTTAGGTCGATTTGGGATCTAAAATCGCTTGTAATTTCATACTTCATGACATCAGAATAACGTCACAGAATAACGTCACAGCGATATTGAGGGAGTCCGACGCCTCATAGGTCCGATGCCTCATAAGTCCGACAAAATCGCATCCCCTAACCAAATAAAGGCCCATAAGTCCGACGGCTCATAGGTCTGACGCCTTATAAGTCCGACGCCTCATAGCTCCGACGTCTCGTAAGTCCGACAAATGAAACGCGTCGTTTTTGCGACGTCGGACTTATGAGGCGTCGGACCTATGAGGTGGAATAAATAATTGTTATGCCTCATATGTCCGACGCCTCATCAGTCCGAAATGTCGGACTTATGAGGCGTCGGACCTATGAGGCGTCGGACTTAAGATACGGCCCCATATTGAGGCCGATGTCTCATTCAAAAGTGAACAACTTCTATATTGCTAGGAACAGAACTTTATCATATAATGTGATGATCACAGTGTGATTTTAGTGTGCAAAGGCTCATCATAAGCCAATGTCCTTTATAAAACATTGATTGAGTGTTGACAATAAGAGTTTTTATAGTGATATCTTTACCAAATCATTTCTCGTACAAGAAAGAATCCAGGACAGTGCTTCAAAACGGGATATCCATGCAGAACGAGATTTTTGCATGTCATCATCTCCACATCGTAAGTCGACTTGGCGAGATAATTTATCTCGACAAGTTGTCATCTCGATTTCAGGAAGTCGACTTAGCGAGATATTTCATCTGGAGAAGTCGTCATCTCGACTTCGAGAAGTCAACTTGGCGAGATAATACATCTGGACAAGTCACCAAGTCGACTTCGGTAAGTCGACTAGGCGATACAATTATGTGATTAAGTCGCCTTACTCTCGGCGATATGTCAACATGACGTGTTAAATTATCTGAGTAAATAAAGAAGTGGATGGCACTCATGGAGCGCCGTACATATGCAATAAAATACAAATACAATACAAAAAAAATCACATGGAATCAATGCATAACTATAAAACAGTTATAATAACTGTTTAATAAACAACATCGCTTGATTTCAGTCGGCTAGGGTTAATTTTTAAATTGAACTTTAGAATCCAGATCCAAACATTTGCAATGTTCAAAAGCTAAGCTGTTGAAATTTCAGCTCAATAGATATTACACTTTCCTAGAAAACACTGTAAACCATTTACAACCTTTTGATAATGAAACACGGTTTCGTACATTGCCGCTCTCTCTGTATTTCCAAAAATTGCCCTTAGATATTGCTTGGACAACCGCAAATGACTTTGAAAAGCTTCAGAATCAAGTCGTCATAATGCCAAAAGCTATATTACGTAGGGGAGTTTGACAAAAAATCAATTTCGTTTTTTTTAAAGTTCAAATCCGACATTAGATTCGTGTCTAATGTGTGTCCGTAGCAATAATGGTATCCAGTTCAATCTTGACCTTGGGCTGCCAAATGCTGTGACGTCAGCAAACCGCGGATTGGATAAACAGTTTTTAATGTTTATACATTTTGTGCAATTCAACCAAATTAAGCCTAACGATTCGCTGATTAGGGGGAGGGGCGAAAACCCAGCGAAAAACCCTGTGGGAGAAAACACGGCTAAATGTCCGTCCGCCTCCTTATTTCTATGGCAACCAAGTATGTCCAGTGTCCACTAAGTAGATCAGCACAGATTTAGATCTAATTAATGAAGACAATGGAAGTGCTGACACACTCAAAGGGAACACTGACACATTTACATGGAACATGAACTTGACATGATTGCTGCTTTGCACCTATGGTGATAAATTCGGTCTTGAGCCAGCTATTAGTCAACCAAGAACGTACGTCATCTATGCGTGCGTCCATCTACTGGATTGCTAAATCGACCTGATGTTGTTGAGGGTCTACTGACAGATATAGTTGGGTATTATCTGCATAACAATGATATGATAGACCATGCTTTCGAATGATTTCACCAAGTGGCATTGTATATAGAGAGAACAAGATGGGCCCTAGGACTGATCCTTGAGGTAGCCTAAGATCAAGAGAGACAATTGACGAACTTGAATCATTGACACGGACAAATTGAGATCGGTCATTACTAGGTAGGATTTAAACCAGTCCAATACAACTCCATCTATCCCAATACGAGTCTTGAGGCGGCTGAATAATGAGGCGTGGTCAACTGTATTAAAAGCTGCTGATAAGTCGAGCAACACGAGCAATGATATTTTGCGCTTGTCCATAGTGTGCAGCAGGTCATTTGGGATTTTGAGGGTGGCAGACTCGACGCAGTGGTCAGCACGGAAGGCGAATGATGCTGATCATGTAGATTGTTCTCAATTAAGAAAGATTAGAGTTATACAAGTTTCAGTATTATAGGTCCTAATAATCAATTGAGATATAATTTCCGATGCTTATCTGTATCGCCATATTCAAACTTTAAAGCGCATATAACGTAAAATACATGCTTTCAAAGACAATATCCGCGTCCAGGCCCCCAGACAGCTTTAAACGTACTTGTTTAAAACCGGTAAAGCACATATTTATTCGTATTCATCAATACCTTTCGATCAAAGAAGTGAGGAAACGAAATCACAAATTGCGATCGGTTTTGTGAAACGCCCCTATGGCCATGTCTATCGTATGTGCCTCGTGAGCGTGGTGCTAAACAAATCCTTATATGGAGCTTGACGCGCGCACGGTGCGCAATGTGCGTTTCCTTAGCAGAATACATCGGGGTTTTTTTACCGGCCGTTTAAAACCACCCAGGGCTGAACCAACATGAATCGGTAAACAGTGTCAGGTATTTATGAACAAAGCATCAATACAAACAAAAGAACCTAAGGGGCTGATGTTGTAGAAGCCCAGAAATTCTAAAGCAAAACATGTTTACAACCCATCCCATGTGAATATGTAGTTTTGTGAGTGGTTCTTATAACGAATATACTCCTTCCCCTCCCCCCCTCCAAAAAAAAAAACAGTCTTAAAATTTCCGGCTAAATTCCCAAACTCAAAGATTCATGAAAACTAAACTCACTTGTTTTCAGCTGGTTGGTGGGCACACACAATAGTTTCCTCGGAGAGACACTGTAGAAAAAGAGGGGGATAGTAAATTGCGACCTTGTTGAAAATAAGCTTTATGATTATTATTATCTTTTTTTTTAATTCTCAATCGTTTCACCACAATATTATTGACCTTAATACGCGTGTCCCCAAGGCAGGTATATTGCTGATTAGTCAACATTTCAAGGAGCCAACTACAAAAAAAACTTAAAAAAAAAAAAACACCAGCAGATGGACATCAATCCCACAGAGATGGACAAAGCGACAAAAAACTTTCAAGGCAGACATTTCAGTGTAAAATAAACGCCTTGCGTGCACTACTTCCAGCACCAATACCCGCGTGTTACATGTTTTTTTTTATTAAGTATTTTCAAAGGAACATGTGCAACTGGACTGTTGCCCCTTGAAAGTCGCTGTCGCAGGACTAACACAAAACGGGCAATGCTTAATCAATTGGTATCATTTCGTGAAGAACGCTTTTGTAGCCAAATTGAGCTCTTCCCAGGACGCAGTGCCCCTTTAACTTGACAAACATTATCAGATCTCAACTTTGAAACGTGTCTTTTATCGATACTGACAAAGCCGACATCTCGATATTGATTTAATCGATACTGCCATTAACCGACCTCTTGACGTGGAAAGATGACTTCAATGGGTGTCTCGTCAAAGTCCGCCGAAATCTTCTCTCCACTTGCGGTGATCACGTCTAAACCGATTACTGGACTGCCAAATCGAGTCGGTTCATCGGAATCGCTGTCAGGGATAATCGCCGTCTCCTCGCTTGGCGCGTCAGTGACGTTCATGACAACAAGCACTGCAGGAAACAGTTATTTATTTCAGTGTACATTATGCTGTTCCATTAAGGTCACTAATGCAGCGCGATGTCCGTCCATAACCGGCGCGGTGTGTGTGTATCGCGGCGCGATGTCCGTCCATTACACGGCATGATTGGTCAATACATGATTGGGCGGGGCTTAGTAGATAGGTCTTTTGAATTCATCTGTATCATCATTAGTAGTTTTAGCAAATACATTTAAGACTCAATTATGTAATATCAATATATCTCAGAGACGAAGAGTACCAAAGTGCGCCGCGTTTTCTGGTTCACACGCTGAGCGTAGGTGTAGACAGCACACAAACCAGCGCTTGAAGCAGAAAAAAAAAACACATCTGACGTCAGAAGTTGGTACTTTATTCTGGAAAGATGGATCATTTTGGAATTTCAAGTGTGCATGCGCAAATTAATATACTATTGTGATTGAATAGAAATAAACAATCATTTGATTGAGGGTGGGTCATATATGCTAGCGCGCTATCAACAAAAAAACGAAAAAGAAACGACAAGGAAATCGGTCTCAGAGCGCTAGTAGTGGAGGTAGACTTCTTAGTACGGTTTGACCTTGGGCCTAGAAATATGTAAAGGTCACATAAATATGTAAATATGGAAATATGTAGATATAAATATGAATTAAGGGATGTGGAAATTGTTAACACAGTTTGACCTAATGAATGGATGGGATGAATAGGGAATAGGTGTGGGTATAAGGGACTGGGTACAGTTTGACCAATTCTATGGGAAAGATTGCATAAGGTATGGAAAAAAATATATATATTTTTATGGTACATTTGGATCTTAGCCCGAATATGAGTTTCATACGTTAGTCCCTGTGAACGACCAGCTGGTCGGATCTTTAATCCCCCAACAATAGACGGGAGAGGGCGCGTGCCAAGTCAGCGCACTAGTATTGTTACGAAGTTAATCCGATCGATACAAAAAGTAATTGGATTTCCGAACGCTCGAAAGCAGAAAGCAGCGACAGATGGCAAAAATGAACTTTGCGTTGATCAGACTGAAACGAGTACGATTGTCTATTTGAAGAATTATTTTAAAGTCATTTTTATTGGGTTTATGGGTATTGTGCAACGTTGCGTTTTCCAAGGTATAAACAAACACTCACCGCAGCATACTTGCAGGGTACAGCCTGTGTCGGCCATGGGGGTATATGATAAATCCACGATCCATAATCCATGCGTCTGTACGGAGACCGGTGGTCGATCACCCCTCGATGATCGTACCGATCCTGGAGCAAATAAATAACTCCGTCCGTGCGCCTAGATTCCTCTTGTTAATCGATACAATACCAATTACACTCTTCTACACTGCCACCAGAATCATCCAAGTAAAAATATATGTCTGTGCGCGGTGATCGTAGAAAAGGGAAGGTTTTGGCATCAGCCAGAGCAAATGCTAGTACACATGCACACTACTGTATACATTACGGCCGTCCGATCAGATAGCGCTCAAGTTTTCTTAATCCGTGACGGCTAAATTATCGATTAGGCTCTATTGCAGAGGCGCGTACAATAAGGAATGGATTCAGTGGTTTAAAGCCATAACAAAACGTGAGGGTATGTGGTTTTTAAAGGGAACTACGGCCTGGAAAGTGCCCGATTGAGTGTATCGGAATAACACAATCATCATTGTGCATTTTGTAATATTTCGTACTAGAACGACCCCAAAACCAAGCTAAAGCCTATCCATAGTTAAAAATTCAGTCGTAACGTGGTAAAAATGGTGCCCCTTTAACGCTGTCTGTATAGGAAAGCACCGAACACTAGTTGTACCTCCGTGCCGGATTTGTTTACAAAATCGAGGATGACTGGGTTTTATCTACGAGTATTTTACGGGGGTTATTTAGAGGGCGTGTCCAAGCGCTAATTTTATGACTGAGAGTAGGCTTTTCCGATTGATAAGACAACACAAACAAAGAAAAATACAACTGCAGAAAGTATATACGTTATGACATTATTACTTTATTGACTTTATTATTGCTTTATTAAATCTCTAGTGTTTTTATTTGTCTGTCCCAATGTATTTCTTCGCAATTATATCGTCATTGTAATGTTGACTAGTCTTTAATCGTCACTGTCTTCCTCGCTGACGTCTTCTTCATCTTGATGGAACAATCCGTCAAATTTCATCTGGTGTTTAGGCATAATTCTGCCGAGAGCCTTTTGTACGCTAATGCCCTTATATATTTTTTCTTCGAGATTGTCCACAATATCTTGATGAGTATCGTTATCTTTCAGATGTAGGTAGCTTGACAGAAAATCCCTGTACTTGTCAAAAAAGATTTGCTTGACTGCCCAGAGGGTCTTCCTATCGGCCTTTTCCTTGGCCTGATCTTCACCCATACCCTCGTTGATGTACTTTTCATGTTTTTCACTCCACATTTCACGAGTCGCTTCTTTGGACTCTTCCAACCAGTCTTGGAAAGTAGCATTGTCTTCTAATTCAGAACTAGACTCATCTTCATCGTCATCTTCTACCTCCGAGTCCGTTTCCGAGCCCGATTCATCCACGTCAGGATGATCAGATTGAATAACCTCAATTTCAGAATCATCGTTAACCCCATTCATTTCAGATTCATCTTCAGCATGAGCGTTTTCGGTATGTCGCCAGAGATTATATCTCCGTCCAAAGCTTTTATCACACTGGTTACAAGCATGGGGTTTGACTGCAGAAAAAGTATTCATGTTGAAGTTATAAAGGCTGATTCACGAATGACAAGAAACGGATGAATTGGTTTAATATATATTGTGCCGAGACCTGTCTGTTTGAGCTCATCCTGCTCTTTACCCTGCTCATCCTACTCTTTACCCTGCTCATCCTGCTCTTTACCCTGCTCATCCTGCTCTTTTCCCTGCTCATCCTGCTCTTTACCCGGCTCATCCTGCTCTTTACCCTGCTCATCCTGCTCTTTACCCTGCTCATCCTGCTCTTTACCCTGCTCATCCTGCTCTTTTCCCTGCTCATCCTGCTCTTTACCCTGCTCATCCTGCTCTTTACCCTGCTCATCCTGCTCTTTACCCTGCTCATCCTGCTCTTTACCCTGCTCATCCTACTCTTTTCCCTGCTCATCCTACTCTATGCTGTAGAGTAGGATGAGCAGGGTAAAGAGCAGGATGAGCAGGGTAAAGAGCAGGATGAGCAGGGTAAAGAGCAGGATGAGCAGGGTAAAGAGCAGGATGAGCAGGGTAAAGAGCAGGATGAGCAGGGTAAAGAGCAGGAAGAGCAGGGTAAAGAGCAGGATGAGCAGGGTAAAGAGCAGGATGAGCAGGGTAAAGAGCAGGATGAGCAGGGAAAAGAGCAGGATGAGCAGGGTACAGAGCAGGATGAGCAGGGTAAAGAGCAGGATGAGCAGGGAAAAGAGCAGGATGAGCAGGGTAAAGAGCAGGATGAGCAGGGTAAAGAGCAGGATGAGCAGGGTAAAGAGCAGGATGAGCAGGGAAAAGAGCAGGATGAGCAGGGTAAAGAGCAGGATGAACAGGGTAAAGAGCAGGATGAGCAGGGAAAAGAGCAGGATGAGCAGGGTAAAGAGCAGGATGAGCAGGGTAAAGAGCAGGATGAGCAGGGTAAAGAGCAGGATGAGCAGGGAAAAGAGCAGGATGAGCAGGGTAAAGAGCAGGATGAGCAGGGTAAATAGCAGGATGAGCAGGGTAAAGAGCAGGATGAGCAGGGTAAAGAGCAGGATGAGCAGGGAAAAGAGCAGGATGAGCTCAAACAGACAGGTCTCGGCACAATATATATTAAACCAATTCATCCGTTTCTTGTCATTCGTGAATCAGCCTTTATAACTTCAACATGAATACTTTTTCTGCAGTCAAACCCCATGCTTGTAACCAGTGTGATAAAAGCTTTGGACGGAGATATAATCTCTGGCGACATACCGAAAACGCTCATGCTGAAGATGAATCTGAAATGAATGGGGTTAACGATGATTCTGAAATTGAGGTTATTCAATCTGATCATCCTGACGTGGATGAATCGGGCTCGGAAACGGACTCGGAGGTAGAAGATGACGATGAAGATGAGTCTAGTTCTGAATTAGAAGACAATGCTACTTTCCAAGACTGGTTGGAAGAGTCCAAAGAAGCGACTCGTGAAATGTGGAGTGAAAAACATGAAAAGTACATCAACGAGGGTATGGGTGAAGATCAGGCCAAGGAAAAGGCCGATAGGAAGACCCTCTGGGCAGTCAAGCAAATCTTTTTTGACAAGTACAGGGATTTTCTGTCAAGCTACCTACATCTGAAAGATAACGATACTCATCAAGATATTGTGGACAATCTCGAAGAAAAAATATATAAGGGCATTAGCGTACAAAAGGCTCTCGGCAGAATTATGCCTAAACACCAGATGAAATTTGACGGATTGTTCCATCAAGATGAAGAAGACGTCAGCGAGGAAGACAGTGACGATTAAAGACTAGTCAACATTACAATGACGATATAATTGCGAAGAAATACATTGGGACAGACAAATAAAAACACTAGAGATTTAATAAAGCAATAATAAAGTCAATAAAGTAATAATGTCATAACGTATATACTTTCTGCAGTTGTATTTTTCTTTGTTTGTGTTGTCTTATCAATCGGAAAAGCCTACTCTCAGTCATAAAATTAGCGCTTGGACACGCCCTCTAAATAACCCCCGTAAAATACTCGTAGATAAAACCCAGTCATCCTCGATTTTGTAAACAAATCCGGCACGGAGGTACAACTAGTGTTCGGTGCTTTCCTATACAGACAGCGTTAAAGGGGCACCATTTTTACCACGTTACGACTGAATTTTTAACTATGGATAGGCTTTAGCTTGGTTTTGGGGTCGTTCTAGTACGAAATATTACAAAATGCACAATGATGATTGTGTTATTCCGATACACTCAATCGGGCACTTTCCAGGCCGTAGTTCCCTTTAAAAACCACATGCCCGCACGTTTTGTTATGGCTTTAAACCACTGAATCCATTCCTTATTGTACGCGCCTCTGCAATAGAGCCTAATCGATAATTTAGCCGTCACGGATTAAGAAAACTTGAGCGCTATCTGATCGGACGGCCGTAATGTATACAGTAGTGTGCATGTGTACTAGCATTTGCTCTGGCTGATGCCAAAACCTTCCCTTTTCTACGATCACCGCGCACAGACATATATTTTTACTTGGATGATTCTGGTGGCAGTGTAGAAGAGTGTAATTGGTATTGTATCGATTAACAAGAGGAATCTAGGCGCACGGACGGAGTTATTTATTTGCTCCAGGATCGGTACGATCATCGAGGGGTGATCGACCACCGGTCTCCGTACAGACGCATGGATTATGGATCGTGGATTTATCATATACCCCCATGGCCGACACAGGCTGTACCCTGCAAGTATGCTGCGTTGAGTGTTTGTTTATACCTTGGAAAACGCAACGTTGTACAATACCCATAAACCCAATAAAAATGACTTTAAAATAATTCTTCAAATAGACAATCGTACTCGTTTCAGTCTGATCAACGCAAAGTTCATTTTTGCCATCTGTCGCTGCTTTCTGCTTTCGAGCGTTCGGAAATCCAATTACTTTTTGTATCGATCGGATTAACTTCGTAACAATACTAGTGCGCTGACTTGGCACGCGCCCTCTCCCGTCTATTGTTGGGGGATTAAAGATCCGACCAGCTGGTCGTTCACAGGGACTAACGTATGAAACTCATATTCGGGCTAAGATCCAAATGTACCATAAAAATATATATATTTTTTTCCATACCTTATGCAATCTTTCCCATAGAATTGGTCAAACTGTACCCAGTCCCTTATACCCACACCTATTCCCTATTCATCCCATCCATTCATTAGGTCAAACTGTGTTAACAATTTCCACATCCCTTAATTCATATTTATATCTACATATTTCCATATTTACATATTTATGTGACTGTGTTAACAATTTCCACATCCCTTAATTCATATTTATATCTACATATTTCCATATTTACATATTTATGTGACCTTTACATATTTCTAGGCCCAAGGTCAAACCGTACTAAGAAGTCTACCTCCACTACTAGCGCTAAAAACCCGTTGATTTGATTCAGAAGGCTATTCACAGGAGATGTTGTTCATGGTCTACACTTTAAACTAATCCCAAGATCATTGTCGCAACAGGGTAATCATATACAATACCACTGCCCGGCTCACGAGTGACAGTCACTCAGTGAGTCAGTCAGTGAGTCCGACACAAAGAGGGCTACAGGTGGCCCTCTGGGACCAGCATTAATGTGTTCTTGATCTGAAACAAATGGGGGATTCAGATTCACCGTGTTTTACAGTCATAGAGCTTCAATGAGTTGTAAGGGAACTATTATTCTTGTATTTTGATAACATCACAAATTGAAGATTGCCGCATCGCTTAAATACTATAAACTGTCCGAATTGTGACTTTCCATCATTTGCTTCGTCTTCTTTATTTATCTCGAAGTGAAAATCGTCGAATTCTGATGTCCAGGAAGGCCTTGTGATGTTATTCTCTAAGACGCACGTTCAATTAAATTCCCTTTTTTCCTCGTAAAATGACATTTATGGAACTTCTCTCTCAATGCTTACACAGCCAGATCAGTTGTTTTCAAAGAAAATAACTGGCCGATTATTTTGAATTCAATTTCTTTAACGTCCTTGAAAAAAAACGGTAGAATACAAACCTGTTTCTGCGGTCGGTGCCCACACATTGGGGATATTTGCCTCGTATACCGTTCCGTCAAAGGTTGCATACACCTTGTTAAATCGACCAGTGCTGGCGGTTAAGGGCAGAATCACCATACGCGCTAGAAAGGAAGAAAATACCATATGCACTCTCAAAAACATAAAGTGGTTGGGTAAAATAAATGATTATGGATTAAAACCCCAAAACGCATCACTTGTGTACTAATAAATGCCTGTGATACCCATTCACAAGGTAAAAATTGCTCAATAATACGTAGCCTGTGGATCTTACTTTGAAAGGTTTACTCCGAGTTGGGCAGACATTTACGCTGAGTGATGTACATGTACATGACACTATAATGCGCGTGCACGTTGTGCGGATGTTCAAGATGGAGAACGTCTGCGGGACTTTGACGGCGTGGGGATTGGCAAAACTCATCCCATTTTTGAAGGAAAGTTTGAACTTCGGGAATGTTCACTCACACAACATGTAGGCTTCTACATATCGTAGACTATTCCGGTGTGGCGAACGATCATCATGGTGTTTTTTGTTCATGCTTATTTCCCATGTTTTCATGTTCATTGCTCTTAAAGGGAATATACAACGTCTGCTTTTCCAGTTATTTTCAGAAATCGATGGATTTGAGTGTTAGTATTTTATGACAAATATTAGTACACTGGCTTGTATGAGGTTTTGGGGTCGTAGATGCTGGAAAGGCAAGAAAAGTAATCACGTTATTGTAGTCTGGTTCCCTGACCCCTCTTTATATGAAACAGGGCAATAAATAATAACAATAATAATAATGAATAATAATAATAACGGGTTCTTATATAACGCTTTTAACTAATATCAAAGCACTTTACATTATTATTACCCCTAATCATTGGGCCAATTAAACATTCCAAACAATCTCAGCTCCCTGGGGAGTATACAGCTCGATGCTGCCTGTTAGGCGCAAGGCAGCTAGAATCAATCACAATAACCATCTCTGCCCTCACAGGTACCCATTTACTCCTTGGTTGGGAGAAGTAATAAGTGTTTTAAGATGGAATTTTTGCGTCGGGGTGATATCAATCAAATTAGGTTTTGCCCTTCACCGACGTTTAAACACTGTATACTCAGTGTGTTATTTCCCGAATGAAAGTTGGAAAAAAATCACTCGGCTGGGACTCGAGCCCACGACCTCCTGCCAAGGGTGGATCGGGGGGGGGGGGCAAAGGGGGGCCATGGCGCCCCCCCCCCCAAAAAAAAAAAAGCGGGCCCCGAACTCCACGCCGTAACTTTTTTTGATCTACTTTTTGGGGGACCAATTTTTTTGCCCCGGCCCCCCCCCCCAAAAAAAAATGTGTTCTGGATTCGCCCTTGAGTTTGCATGCGTATTTGTAAGCGCAATATCTGCCGCTGACCTTTTAGTGGCCTCTACTTTCGGTATTTGGCAAGCCTTTGTTGAGCATCGGGCTGTTTTCGTCGGTCTGTGAACAACTAACTTTTGTTAGGCCAAAAAAAAAAGTCTCTGGTTTCTGGTATGGAGCTTGCCCCAAAAGTGGTGTGGCGACGAGTTTTTTTATTTTTTTAAACCCAACTTTTTTTCACTTCAAGGCCATAAGTCTTGAGAAGTATATTGAGCTGATTAAAAAGCGTTTACAGGTTCGAAATACACGACCATCGCTCCGTCAGTCTGTCAGATGGCTGTATCGGCAATGACGGCAATGACGCAGTTTTTGTAACCCTGTGATTCCCGACTTGTGTACCCTTGCAATGAAAATATGTATGATCACAGTCATTGATTGTATTATCCACTTCTATATTCCATTATATAGAACAGTAGTTCAGTCTGGATCCGCCCTTGCCTCCTGAGTGAAAGTTGGGAAAAAAATCACTCGGATGGAAAAATCACTCCTATAGTAATAAAGTTAGCCTACATTCAAGACATTTGGCTTAGATTTTATGAATGTTGAACCAGTTATGATACAGCAGCTCAAAAATGTGTTTACAAAACTACAATCTCCTTAAAATACCAGTTATGGTCAAATGGTCAATGGTTTGAAGACTAGTTGTAACGGCCGCCACCCTCTGCATGGCACGGCATCAGCGTGCGTTGTCCGCCATGTGGACCGGCCACCGCGTGCGTACATCGGCGCGATACTACGGAAAATCACGCTAATTCGCCCGATCGCTACAAACATGCATTAGACATCGAAATACATTGATAAAAACGGACCCTATACAGAAAGAGGGAGCCATATTCATTAAAAATGTCAATAGATTCGATCGTTTCTAATGCTGTTTTTGTGACATATTTTGCGTTGCCGAATTATGTTCAATGGTTCGAGCATGCTCCGCGTTGGCTAGGCTTCTGCCCCTTTCATTGTTCTTGCTGTTTTAGGGGCCATTCAGAATTTTCAATGATTTAAAATTTCGACTTTTTTTCCAAATTATTTTGACCCACCCACCCATAATTTCGATTAATAAAAAACTGAACATGTACATGTACATGCAAGTCTAGTTCAGTGACGGCGTGAAGTTGTCGGTCTTCCTCTTTTGCACTGGTGACCTTCAGTTTTTTTGTGTTTTGCCAGCTGATATGCTGTTGGGATTGACAGGTTGCAGTTTTGGAAGCCACAAAGATGACCGTGGTTTTGTCGTTTTCTGGATGAGGTGGATGACATGTGACATACGAGGTTGTGCCTATCACGTGAGTCCAGTGGTTGAATAGTCCAGTTTGATAGCGATTGGATACACGTAGGCCTTCATGACGTACATGTACAGTACACAGTGGCGTAGCCCCGGGGGGGGGGGGGGGGACAGCCCCCCCATGAAACCTTGTCCCCCCCCCCAGTCGCCCCCCCCCCCACTGAGATTTTGAGTTTCTAAAAAAATTATCATTGATCTACATGACGCCCCCCCCCCATGAAATGTTCCAGCCCCCCCCCCCCCCCAGCGCCCCCCACTGAAAAATTCCTGGCTACGCCACTGGCCCCGGTTGACTATGCACACCATGGTCATCGTTGGAGGGAAAAATCACCTAAAAGTCATAGGTCAACCCCCCCCAAAAAAAAAAAGATTTCTAAAAAGGTAAAGAGGATTAATTCAGCTTTCATTTGATGTATGTTTTGATCACCTGTGAGGGTTCAGAGTATGTTCCCCGATTTGTTTAAATTGGGATATTTATCTTTGGTGCCTATGGGAATTTATGTATTGGTGTGCACTTACAAACTTTTCATCTGGAAGGCTCATGTCACGGAATGTCCCATTAAATTGTTTAGAAATTATGTTGAAAATAACATCTTCATGGATTCCCAGCACAACTCCTCACAATAAGCCCAGTGTTAACAATATTTCTCGTTGTGGGTCTGAAAATGAAAATTGTCGGTTTGTGTATATGATCAAGTGAAATTATTTATGCAGTATTTTGCCCATTTCCCTCAAAATTGCATATTGTAATATTGTACATTTTTATCAATTTGCTAGAATATGTGATACCTCACCAACAAGTATCTTTTAACGAAATTCAATCAGAATATTTATCAATTTTTAAAAAGAAAATTAGTTGTGTTACTTGTTGGTGTCCCTGCCACACTGTACGAAGGTGTAGCCGTGCGTTATGCAAGTGGATTGTTTACTTTCGTTTTGACGGGGACTTTACTGAATAGAGTCTGGTGACTGTACATAGAAATTTCTTTGAATAAAAGTCGAATCGTTCATTCATGTGCACTTGTTATGCAAAGCAGGGGCAGTGGTTCAAGGATATCTATGTCGACATGAAGAAAGTGTGCAAGAACGCGACTTGAATGCTTTTATGTGTTCACAATACAACGACGCTGTTTAGTTATTTCACTGTGTGACACAGTGAGAAATTTTGGAATCATAATGGCGTCAGCGATACTTGCTGGGGAGCTCTTGCGTACACTTTCTGTACTTTGGGACTGTTGTTTCCAGGACAATTGTGTGTACGGTAACCCGACGTACCCAGATTTTTAAAGACGAAATTGCCGACCTCAAACTTGTTAGTGCCATATTTGGCAACTATATGTGCGTTATTAGTTTAATTAACCAAATGAACAGGTTAATTAAACATAGTACCATTGAAGGTACCTAAAAGTAAGCATAACAGCATAGAAGACCGACAGACGAACATAAAATGTTACAAAATAAACATATTTGTCTGGATAATTGTTTAGGGCGTTACCGGCAAGTTAACACAAACTTGGTGTCAAATAGATCATGGGAGTTACATTTCTTTGACATTTCATACAAGTTTACATAAACTTTAACTGTATGACCTGCAGTGGCGTAGCCACGGGGGGGGGGGGGGTGCGTGGGGGGCGACAGCCCCCCCCCATGAAACCTTGTCGCCCCCCCCCATTCGCCTCCCCCACTGAGATTTTGAGTTTCTAAAAAAAATATAATTGATCTACATGACGCCCCCTCGCCCCCCCCATGAAATGTTCCAGCCCCCCAGCGCCCCCCCCCCTCCCCCACTGACAGTACATATAGGGGACGAAGTTGGAAAAGAAACACGCATCGCGATATCGGAATGCTTGCGCGTAGTTCAGGCAAGTCAAAAGATATATCTTTCTTTGTTTTTTTTTTATCTTTTTTCCATGGAAAGTGAATTTCGATTTTCAGTTATTTAGCTTGACCCACCCACCCACAATTTGGAAAAAAGATCGAAATTTTAAAACATTGAAAATTCTGAATGGCCCCTTATAGCGGTGAAAACCAGTGTATGAATATTGCATAGTGGGGTCTACCCGATGTTCCCCAATACCTATGTTCCCCAATCCCGATGTTCCCCGAAATCCTTAAGATTAGGGTGTTAGGTTTAGGGTGAGGATTTCAGGGAACATCGGTATTGGGGAACATGGGTATTTGGGAACATATGTGTGTGCACCCTATTCATGGATGCCGTATGTTCTTTCACTAGACTCGCTGCGCCATGCGAAGAAAAACCTGCTTATCGTCTTGGAAAACGGAGTCATTTGTAGATTCGATGAGAATTTGTTTCAAAACACACTTTCTTGGAAAATAAATACACTTTTAGAAAACATTTACTATTGTGGTCTTGGTTTGTGCCAAGTTTGGAGTCGATCTGATAAAAAAAAGTGTCAAATTTGTTCG